TATGAATTTGTTAGCATTTTTTTTGAGACAGAAAACTTTTATTTTGGTGGGTAGTTATTCACCGCGGGGATTTTAATTTTTTTTTTGCTATATAAATGAAAAAGTCCAAAAATGTTGAAAAAAAAAAGTGTTTTTCTTATAATATTTTGCAAATAAATATTTCATCATAAATCTTGGCCAACATTTATTCCGATATCTTTTTAGTAAAAAAAAAAAAAAAAAAAAAAAACCCAAATTAATTTATAACCAAAAATTATAATTTTTTATATTTTTTTTACATTTTTATTTTATTTTTTTAACATTGTTTTTTTTTTTGTCCATACTGTCACCCTAGCAGTGCAGTGTCACCATGGTGACGGACATGGACTCGGCGCGCGGTTTCACCTACCGGAGTACGGGTTGCTGGTCAGGCTCGCATCTCTTCCAGTAAGAGGAGTGCTGGGCGTAGGGAACGGGATGCTGTAATAATCCTGCAATAGAGAAACAAAACATCAGGTCGCTGGTCGAATATCCAGCTTGCCAGGACGATCGAATGAGCCGCCACTCACCAGGGGGAATCTCGTCTGTAACATCTGAAGATCGTCGTAACCATATACCTGGGGCTGAAAAAAAAATGAAAAAGAATAAAAAGGTGACCCGGGCTGGACGAGGAACAGAATCCATCCGCCATTCTCCGGTTCTGACCACTTACAGGATAGGCGTGTAACAGACCAGGAGCCATGATGTACGGGTTCGGTAACAGCGGGGCCACACAGGGGGGAGGTTTGGAGGTGCTTTACCTGGAGCAAAAAAAAAAAAAAAAAAAACGTTTACAGGCCAGTTCTCAAAACGGATTCACATCCGGGACTTCTCCAGGGCTGCACCTTGTACACAGACGTATTCTTCAGGATCTTTTCATATCTGCTCCCTAAGACTCCCCAAAATACTTTAGAAATGATTACAAGTTGCACTAAAGATATATAAGAGAGCGGATGCCGTGAATGCGGGGTCCGGGGAGAGCGGCTGCAGTGAACGCGGGGTCCGGGGGAGAGCGGCTGCAGTGAACGCGGGGTCCGGGGAGAGCGGCTGCGGTGAACGCGGGGTCCGGGGAGAGCGGCTGCGGTGAACGCGGGGTCCGGGGAGAGCGGATTGCGGTGAACGCGGGGTCCGGGAGAGAGCGGATGCGGTGAACGCGGGGTCCGGGGGAGAGCGGGGGATGCGGTGAACGCGGGGTCCGGGTCCGGGGAGAGCGGATGCTGCGGTGAACGCGGGGGTCCGGGGGAGAGCGGATGCGGTGAAACGCGGGGTCCGGGGAGAGCGGCTGCGGTGAACGCGGGGTCCGGGGGAGAGCGGCTGCGGTGAACGCGGGGTCCGGGGGAGAGCGGCTGCGGTGAACGCGGGGTCCGGGGAGAGCGGCTGCGGTGAACGCGGGGGTCCGGGGAGAGCGGATGCGGTGAACGCGGGGTCCGGGAGAGAGCGGTGCGGTGGGGAGACGCGGGGTGAACGCGGGGAGGGAGCGGATGCGGTGAACGCGGGGTCCGGGGAGAGCGGATGCGGTGAACGCGGGGGTCCGGGGAGAGCGGTGCGGATGCGGTGAACGCGGGGTCCGGGGGGAGAGCGGATGCGGTGAACGCGGGGTCCGGGGAGAGCGGATGCGGTGAACGCGGGGTCCGGGGAGAGCGGATGCGGTGAACGCGGGGTCCCGGGGAGAGCGGATGCGGTGAACGCGGGGTCCGGGGAGAGCGGGCTGCGTGAACGCGGGGTCCGGGGGGAGAGCGGATGCGGTGAACGCGGGGTCCGGGGAGAGAGCGGATGCGGTGAACGCGGGGTCCGGGGGAGAGCGGATGCTGCGGTGAGAACGCGGGGTCCGGGGAGAGCGGATGCGGTGAACGCGGGGTCCGGGGGAGAGCGGATGCGGTGAACGCGGGGTCCGGGGAGAGCGGATGCGGTGAACGCGGGGTCCGGGGAGAGCGGATGCGTGTGAACGCGGGGTCCGGGGAGAGCTGGATGCGGTGAACGCGGGGTCCGGGGAGAGCGGATGTGGTGAACGCGGGGTGGGGGAGAGCGGATGCGGTGAACGCGGGGTCCGTTGGGGAGAGCGGATGCGAGTGAACGCACGGGGTTCCGGGGGCGGGGAGAGCGGATGTAGTGAACGCGGGGTCAGCCATCTTTTTCTTACAGTTCAGGTCACCCAGCGAAGGACCATTCTAAATAGATTTTACCCCGTTAGGTGCAGTTTGGGACATCTAGGTAAGCCTATATTTTTACCTCCCTCCAGAAAGATCTTCACATATTCGTTCAGACGGATGGAAAATACTTGTGTGGGGTTGAGACATCCAGCAAAGGCTGCGGCTCGAACGAAGAAAGGATTACAAGCTGCACTCTCGCGTGAGAAAGGCTGGTATGAATGAACACACGGGTATTCGGCACGGAACCTTTTGGACTCCCCTACCTGATGCAGAAGCGATGGGAGTTCCGCGTGGAGAGGGCGACTGTGGAAGTCGTGGTCAGGCCAAGCCCCAGACTGCTGACGTTGAGGGTGGAGGAGGCGGGTACAACGCTGGGGATGGTGTGGAGGCCGTGGAAAAGGTGGTGACTGATGAGTGCAAAAACTGGTGTCACTCTCCACATTGGTGTGCTGCAGGGAGTGAGAACAGATGAATGAAGGTCAAAATCAAACCTGTCAGTGGGGAGCAGCAACACAGGGGGTGAGGGCGGGGGGAGGGAAGGGAAAGAAGGGAGGGGGAGGGGGGAGGGGCGGGAGGCGGGGGGGGAGAGGGAGGGCGGGGGAGGGAGGGGGGAGAGAGACGGAGGGCGGGAGGGGAGGGGGAGGGAGGGGGGGAGGGCGGAGAGAGGGCGGGGGGGGGAGAGAGGAGGGCGGGAGGGGGGAGGGGGAGAGGCGGGAGGGCGGGAGGGGGCGGGGGAGAGAGAGAGGGGGGGGGAAGGGGGAGAGAAGGGGAGAGAGAGGGCGGGAAAGGAGGGGGAGGGAGAGGGGGAGGGAGGGAAAGGGAAGGAGGGAGGGGGGAGAGGGCGGGGGGAAGGAGGGGGGGGAGGGGGGAAGAGGGGAAGGAGGGAGGGGGGAGAGGGAGGGGAAAGGAGGGAGGGGGAGGGGGAGGGGAAAGGAGGGGGAGGGAGAGGGGAGGGAAAGGGGGGGAGGGAGGGAGGGAGAGGGAGAGGGAGGGAAAGGGAAGGGGGGGAGGGAGGGAGGGGAGGGGGAAAAAGGGAAGGAGGGAGGGAGGGAGGGGAGGGGGAAAGGAGAGGATGGGAAGGGAAGGGGAGGGGGGGAGGGGGAGGGAGGGAAAGGGGGAGGGGAGGGGGGGGAGGGAAGGAAGGGAGGAAGGGAGGAGGGAGGGAGGGGAGGGGAGGGAAAGGGAAAGGGAGGGGGAGGGGGAGGGAGCAAGGGGGGGGAGGGGGAGGGAGGGGAGAGGGGGGAGGGGGAGGGGGAAGGGAAAGGGAGGGGGGGGAGGGGAGGGAGAGGGAAAGGGGGGGGGGGGGGGAAAGGGAGGGGAAGGAGGGGGAAAGGGAGGGGAGGGAGGGGGAAAGGGGAGGGAGGGGAGGGAGGGAGGGGGAAAGGGAGGGAGGGAGGGAGAGGGAAAGGGAGGAGGGAGGGAGGGAGGGGAAAGGAGGGAGGGAGGGAGGGAGAGGGAAAGGAGGGAGAGGGAAAGGAGGGGGAAAGGGAGGGAGAGGGGAGTAGGAGGGAGGGGAGGGAGGGGGGAGGGAGGGGGGGAAAGGGAGGGGAGGGGGAGGGGGGGGGGAAAGGGAGAGGGAGGGGGGGAGGGAGGGGGAAAAAGGGTGGGAGGGAGGGAGGGGAGGGAGGGAGGGAGGGAGGGGGAGGGGGGAGGGAGGGGGAAGGAGAAGGGGGAGGGAGGGAGAGGGAGGGGGAAGGGGGAGGGAGGGAGGGAGGGGGAGGGGGAGGGAGGGAGGGAAGGGAAAGGAGGGGGAAAGGGGGGGGAGGGGGAAAGGAGGGGGAGGGAGGGAGGGGGAAGGGGAGGGGAAAGGGAGGGAGGGGGAAGGGAGGGGAGGGAGGGGAGGGGGAAGGGAGGGGGGGGGGGAGGGAAAGGGGGGGGGGGGGGAGGGCGGGGGAAAGGAGGGGGAGGGAGGGAGAGGGGGAAAGGGAGGGAGGGAGGGAGGGAGAGGGAAAGGAGGGGGAGGGAGGGGAGGGGAGGGAGGGAGGGGGGGGAAAGGGAGGGAGGGAGAGGGGGGAAAGGAGGGGGGGGGAGGGAGGGGGAAAGGAGGGGGGGGAAAGGAGGGGGAGGGGAGGGAGGGGGGAAGAAAGGAGGGGGGGAGGGAGGGAGAGGGAAAGGAGGGGGAGGTGGGAGGAGAGTTGAGGAACAAGGAAAGAAGGGTGAGAACAGGGTGCACTAGGTCAGGGTTGGGGAGTTGGGACCGCACTCAGTTGGGGACCGCACTCAGGACTGTACTCACCAGGGGATAGTGGACGAGGAGGTTCTGGGGGGACTGTGGGAGGACACAGGCGTTCTGGTGCTGGGGGGGTAGAGTACTGCAGGACAGAAGGACAGGAAAGTATTATTACCAAACACTGAGGAACAATGTAGTCTCCATTCTGCCAGACGGGGCCCCCTACCTGCTGAGTTGCGTGGATGCAGGCGGATTCTGCAGCTCCTCGTTGTGGCTCAGACCACTAAGCTGGGTGGAGTGGGATCCAGCCGTGGTCAGTAAGGAGGATGCAGAGACGGGGTCACTAAGAGCGGAGATGCTGGGGGCAGACGATGAATCTGCTTTCGCCGAGGGAGGGGGGTTTGTGGACACTGCAAGACAGGACACAAAGTGTTACCTAACATAAGAGTTCTGCCATCTGGGAAGCAGACAATGGCTGGGACTTCCGTTTCTGTTACTTTGCAGCAATGCAGTGCAGTGAGTGGCTCAGCCATTCGTGGGAAGCTTAGCATTCTAGGAAGCTTCCTCCTATTGGAGGAGGCAGAGAGGCGGGGCAGGTGACATCACAATGAGTAAAGCTGTACAGATCTGCCATAATTGTTAATCTGACATGGAAGTGAGTTGAGGATCCTTTTGGCATTCTGGTTGATGTTAGCACCGCTGTCCCCCCTTTAGGACCACAGGCAGTCAGAAAGGGTCTACTGGTGTGCATAGGGCCGTTATCAGGGACGTTAGAGGGGCCACAGAATGTATAGAAGAGACTGGAAGGAGTTATATAAAAAAAAAAAGAACTCCAGATGATGGAAGAGGCCACACACACACACATTCACAATTTGGACAAAGGGGGCACCCCCGATAGGGGACACCTGACGCAAGGGGGCCCCCCCCCCGATAGGGACACCTGACGCAAGGGGGCACCCCCCCCCCCCGATAGGGACACCTGACGCAAGGGGGGCCCCCCCCCGGATAGGGACACCTGACGCAAGGGGGCCCCCCCCCCGATAGGGACACCTCTGACGCAAAGGGGGCCCCCCCCCGATAGGGACACCTGACGCAAGGGGGCCCCCCCCCGATAGGGACACCTGACGCAAGGGGCCCCCCCCCGATAGGGACACCTGACGCAAGGGGCCCCCCCCCCGATAGGGACACTGACGCAAGGGGGGCCCCCCCCGATAGGGAAACCTGACGCAAGGGGGCCCCCCCCCGATAGGGACACCTGACGCAAGGGGGCCCCCCCCGATAGGGACACCTGACGCAAGGGGGCCCCCCCCGATAGGGACACCTGACGCAAGGGGGGGCCCCCCCCGATAGGGACACCTGACGCAAGGGGGCCCCCCCCGATAGGGGACACCTGACGCAAGGGGGCCCCCCCCGATAGGGACACCTGACGCAAGGGGGCCCCCCCCCGATAGGGACACCTGACGCAAGGGGGCCCCCCCCGATAGGGACACCTGACGCAAGGGGGCCCCCCCCGATAGGGACACCTGACGCAAGGGGGCCCCCCCCGATAGGGACACCTGACGCAAGGGGGCCCCCCCCCCGATAGGGACACCTGACGCAAGGGGGCCCCCCCCCGATAGGGGACACCTGACGCAAGGGGGGCCCCCCCCGATAGGGACACCTGACGCAAGGGGGCCCCCCCCCGATAGGGACACCTGACGCAAGGGGGCCCCCCCCGATAGGGACACCTGACGCAAGGGGGCCCCCCCCCGATAGGGACACCTGACGCAAGGGGGCCCCCCCCCGATAGGGACACCTGACGCAAGGGGGCCCCCCCGATAGGGACACCTGACGCAAGGGGGCACTTTTTTTTTTCTTTTCTCTGAACCACCACAAACAGATAGGGATCCGGTCCCGGTCTGTAGGGACGCTGGGGATGTCATGCACGCCCAGCCCCGAGAAGCCCACATTGAATAAGGCCAGGTAAGGGCACCTCTGATGGGATGAAGGGCCCCCGTCATGTTTTCAATGGCCACCGGCCGCAAGGATTGCAGGGGGCATCAGGCAAGAAATGCTGACACCTAGACGGAGGTGGCCCCTGGGGATAGGGTTCTGCCCCCCCCCCCCAGATTTCAGTTACACCCTTAAATCAATCCGAGAGTATCAGTAGTAAAATGGACACCTGAAGTAACTTACAAGGGGGCCCCCCACAGAGGGCTGCATCGTGGGAGCTTGTGTTGAGCTGAAGCCGTTCTAAAAAGGAAGAGATGAAAAGTCAATATAAAATACGGCAACATGGAACCTTTGCCCTGGAGAGGTCCCCCCAGCCCCCTCTGCCGCGGAGAGGTCCCCCCAGCCCCTCTGCCGCGGAGAGGTCCCCCCAGCCCCCTCTGCCGCGGAGAGGTCCCCCCAGCCCCCTCGTTGCCGCGGAGAGGTCCCCCCAGCCCCCTCTGCCGCGGAGAGGTCCCCCCAGCCCCCTCTGCCGCGGAAGAGGGTCCCCCCAGCCCCCTCTGCCGCGGAGAGGTCCCCCCAGCCCCCTCTGCCGCGGAGAGGTCCCCCCAGCCCCCTCTGCCGCGGAGGAGGTCCCCCCAGCCCCCTCTGCCGCGGAGAGGTCCCCCCAGCCCCCTCTGCCGCGGAGAGGTCCCCCCAGCCCCCTCTGCCGCGGAGAGGTAAAGCAGCCCCCTCTGCCGCGGAGAGGTCCCCCCCCAGCCCCCTCTGCCGCGGAGAGGTCCCCCCAGCCCCCTCTGCCGCGGAGAGGTCCCCCCAGCCCCCTCTGCCGCGGAGAGGTCCCCCCAGCCCCCTCTGCCGCGGAGAGGTCCCCCCAGCCCCCTCTGCCGCGGAGAGGTCCCCCCAGCCCCCTCTGCCGCGGAGAGGTCCCCCCCAGCCCCCTCTGCCGCGGAGAGGTCCCCCCAGCCCCCTCTGCCGCGGAGAGGTCCCCCCAGCCCCCTCTGCCGCGGAGAGGTCCCCCCAGCCCCCTCTGCCGCGGAGCGGTCCCCCCAGCCCCTCTGCCGCGGAGCGCGGTCCCCAGCCCCTCTGCCTGGAGCGGTCCCCAGCCCCTCTGCCTGGAGCGGTCCCCAGCCCCTCTGCCTGGAGCGGTCCCCAGCCCCTCTGCCTGGAGCGGTCCCCAGCCCCTCTGCCTGGAGCGGTCCCCAGCCCCTCTGCCTGGAGCGGTCCCCAGCCCCTCTGCCTGGAGCGGTCCCCAGCCCCTCTGCCTGGAGCGGTCCCCAGCCCCTCTGCCTGGAGCGGTCCCCAGCCCCTCTGCCTGGAGCGGTCCCCAGCCCTCTGCCTGGAGCGGTCCCCAGCCCCTCTGCCTGGAGCGGTCCCCAGCCCCTCTGCCTGGAGTGGTCCCCAGTCCCTTTGCCGTGGAGGTCCCCAGCCAGCTCCTGCACACAGACGTACCTTAGATTGGCCGAGTTCCTTCTGCGGGGATGAGGTGGAGGAAGAGATGGGATACCGCCGCGTCTGCGTGGACCTCTGCTCGTATAAAGGCCCCTGAGAAGTGCCTTGTGAGGTATAGGTTGCGCTCTGGATGCTGCTAGCTTGATAGGCAGACTCGGGGCTCTGACTGCTGACCGCAGAGCTGGACGACTCGCTGCGAGGACAAGGGAGAGGTCAGAAAGACGCCGTGTTCAAAACGGGCGTACCGGTGCTGCCGCCCAATCGCGTGTGTGCGCTCGGCAAAAGAGCCGCAGAGGCTTCCGCGGTGTCAATCGCGAGCGCCGCTTTGCTTTTGCACAAACTGTCCCCCCTTTGGGGCCACGGAGGAAAGCCGGAAAGGGTCTACTGTTGTGCTGCACGGGGGGGGGGCATCAAATGTATATCAGGAAGGTAGATTACAGAACCTCAAACCCGTATCTGAGGGCGCTGAGAGGGGTCACTGCACTGCGCATGGCGAAAGGGGGGGCCAAAAAACTGCCAGGAAAACCAAGAACCCAATTCACATCATCTAGAACAATTCACCCAATTCACATCATCTAGAACAATTCACATCATCTAGAACACGGCTGTCAAACTGGCGGCCCCTCCAGCTGTTGCCAAACTACAAGTCCCATCATGCCGTTGGGAGTCATGCTTGTAACTGTCCGTCTTGCAATGCCTCATGGGACTTGTAGTTTGGCAACAGCTGGAGGGCCGCCGGTTTGACACCCCTGATCTAGAACCAGGCTAGCTGGTCGCCTCCTACAGTGGAGGCAGGGCTGTGGATAAGGGGGTACCACCACCAGTCGTCCTGTACGGGGCCCAGGCAGCTGGGTGAATTGGATGTGGGCGGGGGGGGGGGGGGGGATGATCAGCGCAGCATGTGGGGGGTGAATACTGGAACCGATCCCCTGTATGGCTCTTCCTGCAGCAGCTGAACTCTTTTCTTCTCAACTGCCATGCAGGGAATCGGTTCCAATAATTCCCCTCCCCCCATCACCCTCCCTGTGCACTTTACGTTTCCCTCTGCTGTCCCCCTGTGTACCCCCCACAGTGCTGCTGGCTTCCCTTCTCTGCTCCCCACCAAGTTCCACCCTAAAAACGTGTGGACCGTGTTCCAAGTTCCGCCCTAAAAAACGTATGAACCGCGTTCCAAGTTCCGCCCTAAAAAACGGGCGGACCGTGTTCCAAGTTCCGCCCTAAAAAACGGGCAGACCGCGTTCCAAGTTCCGCCCTAAAAAACGGGCGGCCGTGTTCCAAGTTCCACCCTAAAAAATGGGCGGACCGTGTTCCAAGTTCCGCCCTAAAAAAACGGGTTGACCGTGTTCCAAGTTCCGCCCTAAAAAACCGGTTGGACCGTGTTCCAAGTTCCGCCCTAAAAAAAAAAAAAAAACCGGTTGGACCGTGTTCCAAGTTCCGCCCTAAAAAAACGGGTTGACCGTGTTTCAAGTTCCGCCCTAAAAAAACGGGTTGACCGTGTTCCAAGTTCCGCCCAAAAAAAAAAACCGGTTGGACCGTGTTCCAAGTTCCGCCCTAAAAAACGGGTTGACCGTGTTTCAAGTTCCGCCCTTAAAAAATGGGTTGACCGTGTTCCAAGTTCCGCCCAAAAAAAAAAACCGGTTGGACCGTGTTCCAAGTTCCGCCCCCTAAAAAAACGTATGAACCGCGTTCCAAGTTCCGCCCTAAAAAAAACGGGCGGACCGCGTTCCAAGTTCCGCCCTAAAAAAAACGGGCGGACCGCGTTCCAAGTTCCGCCCTAAAAAAACGGGCGGACCGCGTTCCAAGTTCCGCCCTAAAAAAACGGGCGGACCGCGTTCCAAGTTCCGCCCTAAAAAAACGGGCAGACCGCGTTCCAAGTTCCGCCCTAAAAAACGGGCAGACCGCGTTCCAAGTTCCGCCCTAAAAAAACCGGTTGGACCGTGTTTCAAGTTCCGCCCTAAAAACGGGTGTAACACGCTCCAAAAGGTGAACTTATCCTTTAAAACCGTCCAATGATTGAATCCCAGTAACATACACAAGCATGCTGCCAGGGATTCCTGGAATCTGACCAAATGCTCGGTGAAGATGAAAGGAGCAGGAGGTGAGGATTTGGGGCCCGTGAGGATTTGGGGCCCCGACTACAGCCGGCACAGGAACAGATATGTGAACGTGACCCAAACGATACGAAACGTCATTATATATAAGGAGAGGGAAGGCTGTACCTTGCCGGGCTGGTATACAAGCTGTTCTGTGATTGGCTCACTGTAGCGTTGGTGGTTGGAGACGATTCGTATTCCTGTAACACCGGCTCCGATCCGAACTGCAAAGCACCAAACTGCAGATTGAGCCCAGAGATGTCAGCTGTGCCGGGCATCTCCACCGCCAAAGCCGGAATCTGTGGATGCAGGAAGGGAAACGATGAGGGAAGAAGAGGAAAGATCACCGAAAAAAAAATATCATTCTAGGCTTTACCACCTTAATGCAGTAGTCTCCATACTGTGGCCCTTTGCTGGCCTTTATTCGGCCCTTGGGGAACTAGTCCTCCCACCAGGGCCAACGCTGGGGGGCACTACCCCTCCCACCAGGGCCAACGCTGGGGGCACTACTCCTCCCACCAGGGCCAACGCTGGGGTCACTACTCCTCCCACCAGGGCCAAAGCTGGGGGCACTACTCCTCCATGATATGGGGCATTACTCCTCCCACCAGGACCAACGCTGGGGTCACTACTCCTCCCACCAGGGCCAACGCTGGGTCACTACTCCTCCCACCAGGGCCAACGCTGGGGTCACTACTCCTCCCACCAGGGCCAACGCTGGGGTCACTACTCCTCCATGATATGGGGCATTACTCCTCCCACCAGGGCCAATGCTGGGGGCACTACTCCTCCATGATATGGGGCATTACTCCTCCCACCAGGACCAACACTGGGGGCACTACTCCTCCATGATATGGGGCATTACTCCTCCCACCAGGGCCAATGCTGGGGGCACTACTCCTCCATGATATGGGGCATTACTCCTCCCACCAGGGCCAATGCTGGGGGCACTACTCCTCCATGATATGGGGGGCACTAGTCCTCCCACCAGGGCCAACACTGGGGGCACTACTCCTCCATGATATGGGGCATTACTCCTCCCACCAGGACCAACACTGGGGGCACTACTCCTCCATGATATGGGGCATTACTCCTCCCACCAGGGCCAACACTGGGGGCACTAGTCCTCCATGATATGGGGGCACTAGTCCTCCCACCAGGGCCAACACTGGGGGCACTACTCCTCCATGATATGGGGCATTACTCCTCCCACCAGGACCAACACTGGGGGCACTACTCCTCCATGATATGGGGCATTACTCCTCCCACCAGGACCAACACTGGGGGCACTACTCCTCCATGATATGGGGCATTACTCCTCCCACCAGGACCAACACTGGGGGCACTACTCCTCCATGATATGGGGGCACTAGTCCTCCCACCAGGGCCAACACTGGGGGCACTAGTCCTCCCGCCGGCGCCAATGCTGGGGGCACTACTCCTCCGTGATATGGGGCATTACTCCTCCACCAGGGCCAACACTGGGGGCACTAGTCCTCCATGATATGGGGCATTACTCCTCCCACCAGGACCAACACTGGGGGCACTACTCCTCCATGATATGGGGGCACTAGTCCTCCCACCAGGGCCAACACTGGGGGCACTAGTCCTCCCGCCGGCGCCAATGCTGGGGGCACTACTCCTCCGTGATATGGGGCATTACTCCTCCCACCAGGGCCAACACTGGGGGCACTACTCCTCCATGATATGGGGGCACTAGTCCTCCCACCAGGGCCAACACTGGGGGTACTAGTCCTCCATGATATGGGGGCACTAGTCCTCCCACCAGGGCCAACACTGGGGGCACTAGTCCTCCCGCCGGCGCCAATGCTGGGGGCACTAGTCCTCACTGGCGGCACTACCGCTCACGCAGGGTACACTACCAGTCCCCACCAGTACCCTGGTGGGCTGACGAATGTGCAATTTGTATTACTGAGCTGCTTTTACTAACAGTTCTCTTTGTTTCTCCTCCATGCTTTGCAGGGATGAGAATCAGAAAGATTGTTCCCTCAGTACAGAACTCTGTGTTGATTATCAGCACAGGGCTCTAGGCTGTGATTGGACGCAGCCGATCAGCAGGTCCCAACTGTGAATCGTCAAATTTGCCACAAACTTGTTTCAGGACAGAATTAGGGAAAAAAAAAAAAAAAAATGAAGTCATGTGATCAGTAGGAGGCCAGTAATGGAACCCTGGTACGCTGAACCACAGCTGGTCAATTCCAAGAAGCCAACTCAATGTGTGCGATTCGTTCCTCTTCCTGCCACGTGACAGAGCCACATGGGGGGTGGGGAGGCAGTACTCAACCAAGTGTAAGCTCCAAGTCATAACCTACAAAGGGCTTCTCCTACCGGTGGCGCTCTAACCTTAGACGTGAGGGAGGCCTTCTTCTTCTGAACCTTCATCTTCTGGTGGGCAGGCTGAGGACTTCCCGACTGGTTCTCCGATGACACCGGGGACATCTGTGTGGGGTGGCTGCTCTTGCCGGTCAGAGGCGAGGAAGGGCACACCGGTACGGCGGATGGCGTGCTCGTCACCGGCGCCTTCTCCTGAAGGAACGCCTCCATCATAGCGGAAGCCGGCGGGAACGTCTGGCGCTTGCTGAACGGATCCGAAGGGCTCTTGAGATCTGTACAATGACAGCGTAACATACAATAGTTACCCAACAGCTCCCCCCACATGGAGGAAAAAAATATTTGAAATGCTACAATTTTGGCCATATTAAAAAAACAAATAGGATCTCGACCCGCACATGACCCGTCGGGCCGCGCCCCGCACATGACCCTGCCCCGCACACGACCCGTCACGCCTCGCCCCGCACACGACCCGTCGGGCTCTGCCCCGCACACGACCCGTCGGGCCCTGCCCCGCACACGACCCGTCGGGCCCTGCCCCGCACACGACCCGTCGGACCCTGCCCCGCACACGACCCGTCGGACCCTGCCCCGCACACGACCCGTCGGACCCTGCCCCGCACACGACCCGTCGGACCCTGCCCCGCACACGACCCATCGGACCCTGCCCCGCACACGACCCGTCGGACCCTGCCCCGCACACGTCGGACCCGTCGGACCCTGCCCCGCACACGACCCGTCGGACCCTGCCCCGCACACGACCCGTCGGACCCTGCCCCGCACACGACCCGTCGGACCCTGCCCCGTCAGACCTTGCTCCATATATGACATATCAGATCTTGCTCCATACACGACCCGTCGGACCCCGCACACGACCACCGTCAGGCCCCGCCCCGCACATGACCCGTCGGACCCTGCCCCGCACACGACCCGTCACATCTTACCAAACTGCCCCAGGGATGGCGGTTGTGCTGCAGAGGTCAGGTCCCAGGCGTTGTTACTAGATGCGTCGGACTGCGAGTGTTGGGCCGCCAGCTGCGCCAGGGCCTGCGCCGTCTTGAACTGCTCCAAGAACTGCGATCCTGTGGTGCTGCTGCTCTTGTGATCTCCGTCTCCAAAGCCCTTACTCAACATGCCGACCTGCAAGAAACGAGTCAAAGGAAGGCGGGGTCATCAACACAAAGAGCGACGTCCACCCGTCATCTTAGATTCCCTTTAAACGGGGCGGCCAATGACGGCTGACACAAAGCGCGAGGTACTGTAGTCACCACATACAGATCTGTCCAGCCGGCGGTACAGCGGGAAGACTCTGCGGTAACCGTTAATATCGCATGCGCTGTCCCCCCTCAGAGGCTACGGAGACAGCTACAAGGGGTCAACTGGCATGCCGCACAGAACCGGTCCGATCAACCGGATTACAATTCATGGCGAAGGGACTTGAACAAGCAAAAGAACTCGTAAATGTTTTTCCAAATTCCCCCTCAATGACACCCTACCCCTCTCCCCAAAAAATCCCCCCTCCAAGCACAGTTCCCCTCCCAAAATCCCCCCTCCCAGCAAGAATCCCACTCCAAATCACCTCTCCTAGCAAACTCCCCCAAATTGCCCCTCCTAGCACAACTCCCCCCCTCATTCTAGCACGATTCCCCCCAAATCCCCACTCCTAGCATAGACACCTGAAAATTCCCCCTTCTAGCACGAATCCTCCTCCAAATCACCTCTCCTAGCAAACACCCCCCCAAAATCCCCCCCCCCCCCCACAACCCATCGCCTAGCACACTCAGCCCCCCCACGACCCCCTCCAAACACAAGCCCCTGCGCTCTAAAATGCCTGTTTCTAGTACAAACCTTGCTCCCAACACCCCAAATTTCTTCCTGGCAGACACTCCCTACTCCAAAATCCCCCCCCCCCCTCCTAGCAAAAGCCCAGCTATCAACCCCCCCGTACAAATCCCCCCTCCTAGCACAAACCCAGCTCTCAAACCACCCTCCAGCACAAGCCCAGCTATCAACCCCCCCGTACAAATCCCCCCTCCTAGCACAAATCCAGTTCCCAAACCACCCCCCAAGCACAAGCCCAGCTATCAACCCCCCCCCCCCCCCCGTACAAATCCCCCCTCCTAGCACAAACCCAGTTCCCAAACCACCCCCCAGCACAAGCCCAGCTATCAACCCCCCCGTACAAATCCCCCCCCTCCTAGCACAAACCCAGTTCCCAAACCACCCCCCAAGCACAAGTCCAGCTATCAACCGACCCGTACAAATCCCCCCCTCCTAGCACAAACCCAGCTCCCAAACCACCCCCCAGCACAAGCCCAGCTATCAACCCCCCCCATACAAATCCCCCCCCTCCTAGCACAAACCCAGCTCCCAAACCACCCCCCAGCACAAGCCCAGCTATCAACCCCCCCGTACAAATCCCCCCCCTCCTAGCACAAACCCAGCTCCCAAACCACCCCCAAGCACAAGCCCAGCTATCAATCCCCCCCCCCCCCCCGCACAAATCCCCCCTCCTGGCACAAATCCAGCTCCTAAACCACCTCAAAGGGCCGGCTATATCTGTAAAAGTAAATGTCCAGAGCACCCTTCCCCCCCATTACAGCAGATGTCAAGAATCCCACACCCTCCCTAACATCACCATCCACCCCCTTTGAGGGCAAAGCTGAACAGCAGAAAGTGCCGGGTCTGGAGGATGACCAGAGGAGGAGTGGAGTGCAGGGTCTGGAGGATGACCAGAGGAGGAGTGGAGTGAAGGGTCTGGAGGATGGAGGAGTGAACCTGGAGGAGGACCAGAGGAGGAGTGGAGTGCAGGGTCTGGAGGAGGACCAGAGGAGGAGTGGAGTGCAGGGTCTGGAGGAGGACCAGAGGAGGAGTGGAGTGCAGGGTTGGAGGAGGACCAGAGGAGGAGAGTGCAGGGTCTGGAGGAGGACCAGAGGAGGAGATGGAGTGCAGGGTCTGGAGGAGGACCAGGAGGAGGAGTGGAGTCAGTTACCAGAGTCTGCTGAATGCTGAGACCAGGGAGGCAGAGATGAGGGAGGTGCTGCAGCTACACTGAGAAGTGCAGGATTTGGCAGAGGAGTTCTAGTCTCCGCTCTGCTGCCGACTGCTGAGACAAGGTGGGGGAGGAGACAAGGGGGTACCTGAGGGAGAGGTGCGAGTGCCACATGAAGTGGCCTGGAGGGCCCCAATTCGGCCCGCGGGCCTTGTGTTTGACACCTGCGTTCTAGGGTAAGGGATGTGAAGATGCCCCTTGTGTCCTGGGATGTACAACAGAGATCGTTTTGACCGGCGTTACATACAGATCGACCAAAGACTGGCTTGTTGTCCCATCACAACGGCCCCCGGGACACCGCCACCCTTGGACACCTCCGACTCCCGGACACACACCCACCCCCCAGACACCTCCCAGACACCACCACGCCGATGAATCCCCAGCTGAACCCCGCGCTTACCATGCTGTGGTGGGAGAAGGAGCTGCCGGGGCTGTTCTGCGAGAGGCTGCTCTGTTTGGAGTTGCTGAAGACAAGAGGTTGGGCAAGGCTGGGGTTCTGTGCCGAGTCCAAGGAGGGGCCCTCGTTCTCCAGAGACGGGCTTTTTCCCAGTAGCACGGCCAGGTCAATCCTGCAGAGACAGGAGGAAAGAGAAGGGGAGCGGTCTGAGGGCCCGGGTTCAGGAGACGTCGGCCCAGAAAGGAGGACGCGTGCTCAGCACTCACCTCTGGCCTGCGGTGATGGTCACACTCTCAGAGGACAGCGGGACCGACGACACACTGGATGCTGTGAAGATCTTGGTCTCTGAAAGCTGCAAGTAACACAGACAGTCAACCAGGAGGAAAGAACAGATCTCCACGTTCAGGGGCCACAACCCTTCTCCCACCCGGGCAATGGTGGACTGATGGGGCCAAACTCAGGAAGAGGGGAGTGTCAAGCATCACCCAACTGGGCCTCATTCACATGGGTGTCCTATGGTGTACAGGACCGGGTTGTCCAAGTGCAGGACCAGGGAAGGCTTCTCTGCAATCTTGGATACCAGAAACAGGACAACTGCCACTGGAATCTCTACACCACGGGTGTCAAACTGGTGGCCCTCCAGCTGTTGCCGAACTACAACTCCCATGAGGCATTGCAAGGCTGACAGTTACAGCATGACTCCCAAAGGCAGAGGCATGATGGGACTTGTAGTTTCACCGCAACTGGAAGGCCACCAGCTTGCCACCCCTGCTCTACACCAAGGGTGTCAAACTGGTGGTCCTCCAGCTGTTGCCGAACTACAACTCCCATGAGGCATTGCAAGGCTGACAGTTGCAGCATGACAGGACTTTTAGTTCCCCAACAAGCTGGAGGGCCACCAGTTTGACACCCCCTGCTCTACACCAAGGTTGTCAAACCGCACCAAGGGTGTCAAACTACAGCCCTCCAGCTGTTGAGGAACCACCAATCCCATGAGGCATTGCAAGATAAACAGTTGCAAGCATGACTCCCAAAGGCAGAGGCATGATGGGACTTGTAGTTTCACCGCAGCTGGAAGGCCACCAGCATGCCACCCCTGCTCTACACCAAGGGTGTCAAACTGGTGGTCCTATAGCTGTTGCCGAACTACAAGTCCCATGAGGCAATGCAAGGCTGACAGTTACAGCAGGACTCCCAGGGCGTCGCCTTCTTTGACCACACCCATTCTTGGCCCGAGTTCGGTTTCAAGGGTTGGGCATCACAAACGTTAAAGCAGCCCAGACCTCCTACTTGTTTACCCGTTGATCGCCTGATAATGGGGGGGGGGGGGGGGAATTTATTGGTTCTACATTTTTTTCCATGTGTCACATTGGATGGCCAACCACAGCTTGGAAAAGCTGACATCTCCTGTAGTTGCCGCGTACAGACCGGGAAGCCGAGTAGAAGCGGCAGACGGTGTTCGCGGCAAATGTTTAATATTGCATGCGCTGTCCCCCTTAAAGGTCACAAACAGCCTGAAAGGGTCAACTGGCATGCCACTGGGAAGGATTTCCCCCCCAAAACTGAACTGCTACAGGTACAAAGTGCAGGAACCCCAAATGTGCACCCAGGGCCGTGTGGGTACCACCAGTCATCCTGTACGGAACCCATGCCAACAGGGGGGGGGGGGGGGGGAGTTAGGTGAATCCGATGTGGGCAGGGAGGGTGATCAGCACGTGGGGGGCAATTACTGGAACCGATCCCCTGTACGGCCCTCCCTGCAGCAGCTGAAAGCCGACTTCTCCTCTTCCTCCCGCTGGTTGTCAGCTGCTGCAGTGAGTGCCATACAGGGGATCGGTTCCAGTAATTTTCCTGAACGAAGACAATGAGTAATCAGTACTGATATCTCACTGTGTTCATTCATAACTGAAGCATAGTAAACTATTTTTTTTTTGTGGGGGAGGGGGGCAGTCAGGTTGGGTTGGCTGTATGGGGCCCCGTGGTTTCCAACAGCAGCCCTGGGTGCACCTACCTGAGTTTTCCAAACCCTTCAGTAACGGGCCGAACGCTGGGCCTCACTTCCTCAGAACCAAAGCTGGCCCCGCCCATCCTACCTCCTTCACCCCCTCCCATTTGACAGTAAGGCAGCCGATCACAGCGATGGACCTATAAGAATGTTAGGGGGGTGGGACTTGGCAGTAAGCTCCGACACTGCCCAGCGTTTGGATGCATCCCCGGGTATTACAACCCTTATGGACCGCCCCCAAAAAAAGGTGCAACATGACTGGAAGCTGACCCGGGACCACGATCCGGAGGCCCGGGACCACGATCCGGAGGCCCGGGACCACGATCCGGAGGCCCGGGACCACGATCCGGAGGCCCGGGACCACGATCCGGAGGCCCGGGACCACGATCCGGAGGCCCGGGACCACGATCCGGAGGCCCGGGACCACGATCCGGAGGCCCGGGACCACGATCCGGAGGCCCGGGACCACGATCCGGAGGCCCGGGACCACGATCCGGAGGCCGGGACCACGATCCGGAGGCCCGGGACCACGATCCGGAGGCCGGAACCACGATCCGGAGGCCGGAACCACGATCCGGAGACCCGGGACCAAGATCGGGAGACTGGAACCCAGATCGGGAGAACGTCTCCGGTCACAAACCTACACATGGAGGGAACGCAATCTGAACCCCCCCCCCAAAAAAAAAC